TTATAAAAGGAGGAAGGTAAAACTGAAACCTAAGGAAACTAAGAAACTTAAATTAAGTGAGTTTGAAACATTGTGGAAAATAATTTAAAATAGATTCTACAGTGTATCTGTAGTAGTTCAAATGCAGAATTAGAGGTGTCACTGCATTGCTTTATCAATATCCCCAGTAAGGGCTTAGATTGATACAAAGAGCTTGCAACAATGTTCAGTAAAACAGTACCAAGGGTACAGAAAAGTGAGACTTTGATCTGCATGTGCAATTGCATATGGGGATTTATTCCCAATTACCAGAGACAGGAATGAGACATTTTAATGATTACTAATTGGTGTTTTAGATGGGAGTGTGCCATCTGCCGCTGTGTAATACTAATGGTTATGTCTGCTGTAAATTTGGCTTTCTCTGTTTCACTTTGGCGTCTTGGTCTCTGATCATCTATACTACATTGCAATGATAGCTGACTCCAACTACAGTGCAGCTAATGAGATAATTCACTCCAAATGCCAGATGAAGCACTTTTTCACTTACCAAGTTTGTCCTATTGGCTCAAGATAGTTCTTCAGGACTTTGCAGGCACATACAAACATATACATGTCAATATAAAGAACCAAATATACAATGAAAACTAATTATTCTCCACCAATTTAACTTGTATTAGAGTAACTTGTCTCCAGATCTGATAGCATCAACAAGTGGGCCCCTGTTACAAGGACTTTTAAACTGTTAGTTGCTCTCTCACTTGTTGAAAGGGGTAGGAAGAGCTTCCGAATTCAATTCAAAGTTATTTTTAAAGGTATTCAAACATACAAATCTGTGAAAGGAGTGAAAATGCCAGAGCGTATCCAAAAGCAGCACCTCAGTAGAGTAAGTGTTTTTAAACACTTATCTAAGTACTACACATCTACCGTTACAGTGTAACAGAATTAAGTGAATGAGAAGTACTTTGTCCGTCATATCATTCCTCATATGTATCTTCTGGTTGATGTGATGGCCAAACTAGTTAGAACTGAAATCCAAACATTCAGACTAAATCTGGAAAAAGGCACGAAGAAAAGCAAGAAGGGTGGTAATTGAGGGCATCTTTGCAATAGGTGTTAGGGGTGCTAAAAGCTTAATGGACTCAAAGAGATGGGACAAGTCCATTGAGAACCATTAAATATGACACCTTTTCTGCAATAGTACATCCCTGAGCCACAGAGGATGCATGTCTTGCAAGACTTTTTGCTGAGGAGTCGGGATGTGATGTCTCCTAGATTTCCTAGTGTTACTTGAGTATAATTCAGGGGCTTTTATTGTTTATATTTTAGTTGCAACTTCCAATGCATTTGGGATTTGTGTCATTGTAAATCCTTATTCTGCACTTTGGATGAGAAGTCTGCATTAATCCTTTCAACTGAGAACAGCTCATTTCTGAGGATGGAGATTTTTCTGTGCCTATTATATTAACCAAGCTCTGCCTCAAGTTTCAATCAGAAGGCAAATTGACTCCTTTAATCTGTCTTTCATTGAAAATTGAAGAAAACACCACTGACATGCATGAAATGAGCAGTGAAGCCTTCCAAAAGGAAGGGACTTCTTTTTATGTTTTCATCTCTGGTATTAATGAAATCAGAAATATTACTTCATTAAAAGAAATTACAGTGCATTACTTGAATAGAGTTGAATTGTCTCTAGAATTAAATAGTAAAATTCTTGAGTGGATGCAGTTTCAGGCTGTTGCTTTTAGGAAGGTGTTTTACTAGATTAAGGTTTCCTGAGTTTGGACTAAAAAATTCGGGTTAAAATCAAACTGCATGAATGAGAAGGGATTTTCCTATATAGTTGTACACTAGAGAGTGGATCAAGGAAACGCAAATCACAGTTGCCTGTGCTAATATAAAGCCTTTATGACAGGGCAGGGAAATTTCAGCTTTGCTCCTGAGTTACTAAGTTAGCACAATGCCTGGCTTCTTGAATATGTTCTCTCTGAGCAAAAAGAATGTATCAAGTTGGATTGCAGTGATTTCCAGAGGTCTTCTTTTTTTTTCCCCAAAGTAAAATCATAAATACTAATTTTTCAGGTTTTTCAGAGACATTTATAGCAGGAAAATGTTGGCATCAACACTGGAGGAATTATGCCTTCACTTGGAACTCTGGTGACTTGCAAACAACTGTTTACTAGTGTATATAGTTCAGTTAGATGTAAAATGCATTCATATGTATTTGAAATTTGCTCTTATGAGATATTGTTAGAAAAACACTTTGCCTGTATCATATGAAGCAAACTCAATCCTAAAGTAATAATTACGAATCCTCATTTAAAAAAAAAAAGTTAATTTTATTCCTAAACCTTAAGGCCAGATGCCCACAATTGAAAGAATGTACAAAGGGCAGCGTACAGTGGGACAAAGCAAAAATGCAGTATGGGCAATAGGGTGTTTTATTAAATACCTGAGCCTCTTTCTTGTTAAGAATTCTCAAATGTTGGGGACTTGCTCTGAGAGGATGGGCATAGGGTGATAAAAACCAAAATTTCACAGTTGATCTCCTTAGCGTAGGCACCTTCCATGCTAAGTATTGCTAGCAGTATTGCATAGGAGACTTAAGTAGGTCAGTGTAATGGCAGTGTTATGAAAGACTTTGTTTTCTATATGAATATGCTGTTGCAGAATTGGACTGTGGAAATTTGGCATCTTTTAAAATTGAAGGCAATGATCCCAGCTTTTCTGAATGACTATAACCCTTCTCCATTTTAATTTCTCCAAAATGATTTTTTTTTGAAATTAAAAAGAAAAAAATGCAAATCAGAAATATATGTTTGAAGTTTCTTTTTTCCTAGCAAATCTAAAAAATTGTTACTTTTCTCTATCTCAGTTCAATTACTAAAGCATTTTAAAATTACTGAAGCATTTACATTGAGAGATTATTTTAAAGGATGTATGAGGTTGTGTAAAATCATCTTCTCTGATGACATAGGAAGTTTACTTCAGCTAGTGTAAAGTTTCATTATTACAGATCACTGTTGAAGGAAAGTGCCTGTGGGCCTTAACCTGCAAAGACTTAATGCGTGTGCTTTTAGCTAACTATCCATAGGGCTACCTTGAAGAAACTGAGATTATGATACATTTTTGAAAGACAGCAGGAAAAATAAGACTTACAGTTTGCAAAACATTTTTTCCCATGTTTAATATGTCTGTTCTAACAGAAATGTTAAGGATAGGAGTCAAACTTGACTATTAATACAGCTCAAAGCCTAATCCCAAATTTCAGATATAATGAACAGCAGCATTCACAGAAGAGGAAAAAGGTTTGCCCAAGGATTGCTCTACAATTCCATATTCAGTCTTGAATGCTCATGTGATTTTTATCTGCTGAATTTTCATGGCTAAAAAGCATCTTATGAAGAATCTAATGCAAACCTGTTAGTATAAACAAAAAAGGCAGATTAATTCCTTTCCCACAGAAACATTTCCAAGAAGTTCCAAGTCGGAATTATTTTTGTAACTTACCAAAATGTCTTTTAGCACCTGAATGCTACACACAAAACCGATTTCCCTGTGTTTCAAAATAATTTTTTTTTTTCTGAATAGGCCTTTCTAGATTTCCATAAATACGTTTAAGTCCATTGTCTGATAGGTATGATGAGCTTACTGAGAACAGGCAGTGGAAAAAGTCTTCATAGAAAAGCTTATGTGTCTATAAAGAATGTATTTAGCACTCAGTTACTTCAACCTTACTAAAAAAAAAATTCAGTAACAACTTTTTAAACTCCATTTAACCTTGTTCTTGATAGATTTTTTTTTTATTTTTTTTTTTTAATTCAGAGGTGTTTCTAGACTATTTCCATGTTTCCACTATGTTTCTAAAATTTTGTTTCAGCTTTTCATTTTCCTCAAATTGTGTTCATGTTTTTATACAAATTCATTCTCATTTGTTTCTTTTTGAATTAATTTAAAATGTCTGACTGCATCCAACTGTAGTTATTTCAGTAAAAAAAATTGAAATTCCATGTTAGAGATAAAATAAGACTGCTTGTACTATTGAGATACATGTTACTGTTTCTTTTCTCAAAGGATCATTCATATACCTAGGATATATAGATGAACTAAAAATCGTATTTCAACATATTTTGTATATATAATTTCAATTAGTGAGATCCGAAATTTAATTCATGTTCCAGGTGTTAAAGAACAGAACAGTTGAGGTGCATTTCTGTTTGATAATTTTGATCTGAGTGCTAGGTTCATTCAGTATTTTGTTTTAGAGTATGTATTTGAATTGCAAAGTGAATGTGGCCAGTGCCTTCTGTCTTGTATTGTTCTCTGAATACTGAAGGAATGCATAGAATGCTGTCTCACCTGACTGATTACATTCTCTTTTTCTCTAACTCTTCATTGCTATTACTATAGTGATCTACTCTATAAGATCATCTTATTTCTTGCAGATGAATGATGCTATGGGATTTGAATTGCCATGGGTGTATTTTGTCAGTCTCGTCATCTTTGGGTCATTTTTCGTACTAAATCTTGTTCTTGGTGTATTGAGCGGGTAAGCATACACCTTTTTCATCATGAAGGCAGAGTCCTGAATTCAGTTGCCATGAACACACAGGTTATCTTATGCAGGTGAGCCTTTAGTTACGACGACTTCTTTTAAAAAGCCTCTATTTCTTTCTCCTCTGATTAGAACAGAAACGATTTTCTGTAGCTATCATATAAATAACATATGAATACCAAAATTGGACTTTAGACTTATCAGTATATGTTCATGTCCATACTTGTGGCCAAATTATAATAATTCTTCTGAAATTATTTAAATGTTATTTTAATTAATCTTCTAAGGCATCACATCTACATATAATTTGGGTAATTAAAGCAATTAATCAAATGTCCGCTGATTATTTTTTTTGAGACATGAGTAAGCCATAAACTTTGTCTTGAACCTACGTGATCTGGCAGCTGCAAAAAGGACTCTGCTGTTTGATAAATGACTGAATCATAACTTCTTTCCTTACATTTTACAGGTAAATGATGCAATAGGATGTGAATGGCCATGGATCTATTTTGTTAGTCTTATCATCCTTGGCTCATTTTTCGTACTTAACCTGGTTCTTGGTGTACTTAGTGGGTAAGCAGTTGAGTTAACATTGTGTATGCTACTGCTACTTGTAAGATGGCCTCTGCATTTACTCAAGCTTCTCAGCAATGGCTTTTTTGCATGCACTTAAGATTCTTACGTCATCCTACCAGTGTTTGCTCTTTGGACTGAACTGTGTGATTCTACTGCCTGTATCTGTCTGACGTCACGTTCACCATGCTTGCCAAAAATACTCATTAAATGAGGCAGTAATCTCCTTATTCTGTAATATTCCACCAGGGAGAAATATTATTTAGCATCCCAGGGGGTATGCACCTATGCAAACATTCTCCCCTATAATTACAGAGAAGTTTCCTTTTCTGAAAGCCCAACTTTTGCTTTTATTCAAATATCCATAAAATAATTGAAGTGCTTTGGGTGTTTGCGAGTCACATTGCATAATAATTTTTAATGGGTACTTCAACATCTGTCTTACAGAAAAAGTATGATGAGGTTACCTTGACACAAAGTATTTAGTGTTTCCTGAATTGTGGAGCTGTGTACTGCTGTGACAGCCTGAACCAGAAAGCTAATATATTTATCAATAATCAAGTATCAATTAGATATTTGTCACTGGGAGGTTGTCACAGCTTTTTGTTGGTTTGTGTATGCCAGGCTCGAGCCAAGAACTGGTGTCAATTGTAGCTGTATGATGTGGTTTAAACTGTAATTGATGATAACAGTTGTAAGGTTCTCTTCTTACAAAGCCCCCTTACCACAACAGGTTACAACTCCACTACTTTTGCCATTTCCTGGTTTCTAACAAACTCGAGCATGGGAAATTTCAGTTTATGGCAAAGATACTTTCTGATAAATAAAATAACCTGATAGCATTTGAATACCTAAAGAAAATTACCGTAATTGTAATTATTAGCGTTTAGTTATGTACCATTGTTCTGGCAGCCTTAGGCGAGTTGTGCCATCTTTGTTAGCCAACAGAGAAGTCTCTCGCATAGAAGGTAGCCTGACACCATAGTTGCTGGTGTCATCAGGCTGCTGGTTGTGTGTGCAGCCCTATTCATGGCTTTGCCACAGTACATCAGATTTGAAAGGAAAACTAATGCATTTTTACAGTCCTGGAAATCAGATAATCAAAATCTCGAGTTGCTGATATGACTATATTGCAAGAGGTTTTTTATCTGATGAGTGGTTTTACACTTTTTTTTTTTTACAATCATAAGTCATTTGACTGTGATAGATTCCTGTTACACACAGGAAACTAGGGAAAGCGTGCTTTTATCTTACCATCAGAATTGCTTTACAAAGCAGATGTTTAGAAGCATAGGGGTAGTGCTAAAAACACATTGCTAATTTCTAGATTTAATCTCTTCCTTCCAAGACCTACCCTGTAAGGTCTGATTTATACAGTTGTATCGGCTTTGTTTTATCCAGGGACAAATGTGTAAACTATTGCAAAACTAAGGGCCTAGCTTTGATGTCACGGCCACACTGGACAAACAAAAGAGAGAGAAGGACAGATAATTGAAGTTAGTTGGAGTATAATTTAGTTCTTCCTTTGATACTGTTACCTAAGGTTGCTGTGTGACTAGACTTCCCACGGAAGTCATTAGTGGATTAGGTTTTAACAGTTCCTTTTGCTGGCCCTTAAGAAGGTCACAAGCAGCAATTAGTTTTCTTCCTGTTGTGTGAAGGTTTCACATGGTAAGAGTTAAGTAGATAATTCCCCTTTTGTTTTTAAAAATAAGTTGTGGGGAAAGTAATGTCAGATTTGGTGCTTTGTTGCACATGTTCATTTTTTCTACTGAAGCCTTGGAAATTTAGAGAGACCCTCACAGCTAAGCTTTACGTTTACTTAGTACATCTAAAATACTTTATAAGGTTTGCAACCTTATGGTATGTATGATATTTGTTGGAATATGGAGTTGTTCCTTAGTTGCTGTTACAATGCAAGGAAGAGGTGCCCCCCTTGTCAGCAGGCAAGAAATCACCACTGATTTCTAGGCATTGCTTTATGTGTAGAGGTCTAATGCTCTTCAGAACCCTTGCTGGCTTGCCTTTGATTTCCACCAAATAGAAATGGCAGTGCTGAGTGTAATGTGAACTCTGCTTAAATTCCTAAAGTTGTTAATTCCTAAAGTTTTTTTCTGCCATAGTGCCATCTAACTGTAGTGTCACTTGAGTGCTCAGGGTGCTTGATGAATTGTTCGAATTCATGTTTGCCCTAAATTCACAGAAGAGCCTTCCTAACACTCCAGTTTTTTGACTTCTATGCTGAAGGAAGTTATACCAGTGAACTGAGATATGTGATATATAAATATCACCAATGATTGACATTGAAAGTGGAAAGAGAAAGGAAAAGAGAGTGTGCCTAAAAGATAGCTATCATACTAAACTAATCTTTGGTACTTAAGTGAAGAAAATGTCCTGGCATACTTGTTCAAAACTCTGACAAGGGCCAGTGTGGAACACTGTTACACTGATTTATTTTCATCATTAAATGCCATTTGTATATAAATAATAAATATTTCCCGCATACTTTATATTTAGACCTATATGTCTAAATTTTATAGGTAAAAATGATGTACTAGTAAAATCCTATGAATGCGTTTGTATTCCTTAGTAGACAGCTAATAGTTTTCATTCTGAGGCAGGTGTTGAGTATGTAACATGCATTCTTTGGTTTTTATTAAGAGTTATTAGCTTTTACATTTTATGCTATTCAAACCATAGCATGAAACATAGTTTATGATAAATCTACAAAAAAAAGTTAAATTTTACTAAACCAATCGAACTTCAAGAATGCAAAAATTATGCCAACTGACTTGAAAAGCATGGCTTTGCATACAGATTTTGGAAGTGGAATCTGAATGCCTAATACACCTTTTCTGTATGAAAGTGTTACTTCCTGTATTATCAAGTTATGCCATGTACATTTAAATCTGTCTGTTGTTTTGATCTGTTTGTGGTTTTAAAATAGTCATTCTCTTTGCACTTCTTTGTTACTCTGTGGCCATCTGCCCCTTCGTATTTCTGTAATGCCTCTTGTGCGCTGCATGTTTGATGTATTTAGATACTGTACAAATGAAAGAGAATGATGATTTGGGAGATGTTTTGTTTTACATCTAGCCATTTCTGAAGGTGAGTATTTCCTGGTGATCCATGTCAGTTTTGCCTGCTGAAGGTGACATTCTTAAAAATAGAGTTCATGTTTTCAATAGCAGATGTATAAAGTAACAGAAATAATGTGTGTGTGGAATCTGCATGTGGGAAATATTTTGATTTCTGCATGTAAGATGAATGTGGAGATTTTTTTCTAAATATCCCCCTGAATAGCAAGGATGGAGAGAATTCATAGGCTTGAGGTAATTCAGCTTTTTATAAATACTTTTTTACCTGTACTAGACACTAGTATTATTCACATTATTCCCAAAGGGAATTCTCAATTGAAAAACTATTGCGGTGTGCAGGAGTCTACAGGAAAAGGCATTCTGGAAAAAGACTCCAGGTCAGGTTTTAGAAATGGTTCCAGATCTAGCTCAGGCCCTAATGCCATCTAAGAAATTATGGAGCCAGCTTTAAAAAAGACACCAGAAATGGTTCCAGCTCCAGCAGTGACCTATACAAGTTGTCAGCCACAGAGATGCTCTCCAGCAATTGGCTCCAGATTCAGCACTAGAAGGGGATTGTGAGACAAACACCTCTATATCAGCTCTAGTAAAGGCCTCTCGAAGGACCTCTGGAAAGGGCCATGTGGAAGGGCTCCAAAACATGCTCTAAATCCATCTCCAAGAAATGGCTGGGCAATTGAACCTACATTCAGCTCTGGAAAAGACCTCAAGAAATGGCCCAAGTCCCACTTTGGGAATGGGTGCTAAAATTGGCTGAAGATCCACTTCTAGGAAGTGCTTTAGAGATGGCTTTAGAGCCAACTATAGATGTGAGTCTAGAAAAGGGCTGTAGGGGTGACTCTTGGTCCAACTTCAGTAGAAGGCTCTGAAGAAGGCTTTAACTCTGGCCTAAGAACAGATTTGGCGAACAAGCTCCTCCATAAACATAGTAGAAAAAAATGCTCTGGATCCAGCTCTGGAAATGTGTTTGGAAGTGTGGTTCAAAACATCTGGTGGTTGGTAATTTCTTTCAGTGTAGTGAATTTCCTAGGAATCTAGCTGGATACCTTGAACTGTCAGCTGATCCTTCACAGTAAGACTGTATGTTCTGATTCTTTCAGTATTTAGAAATACAGAGCAAAATACTTGCAGATAGATATGGAAAGCTTCCATAGATGTATTCAGATGTTTTTGCAATGTTGTTATCTTGGGCTGGTTTGCATTTTGCTCATTCACATTACAAATTTAAAGCTGTATGTGGCTCTGAATAATTGTTTTAGTTCCATAAATGGCAAAGTGATCATGACATGGTCATGCTCTATTTTGATGGCTATGTCTTTAAGCCAGCCAGGAGGAAGTGGGTTCAGTCCCTTAGAGAACCCAGAGCAACTTTTTTTCCTCTGTAAAAATTCCTTTGGTATGATGCAAGGATTAGGCAGTGCATCTTTGTAGCAATTTCACATTTGATGGAAAGGCACTGATGTTGGCACTGAGGAGCTGCCCTGCAGTTCTACCTCTGTGAAGGGTGGTGGACAGTTTCAGGAGTCTGCTTTTACCTGTAGCTTTCATTACACACAGTGTGAGTTAACAGCATAAACTGGTCCTGTGTTCTCCAAAGTCATGAAATAGTAGGCACAGAAACTGGGACCTGAGGACAGGCCTCCTCCAAATATTACAGAATAAAGTGTATCATGACTATTGGTACAAGAGACATTGAGCTGAAACCAGAAATTTAAGTTAGAAATTATAAAGTTAAGTTTATTAGAAAGTTAACAAATAAAACTAAGCCCTAAAAAAGGGAATTGAGAGATATTCATCCATTTAAAGAACCTTTAAAAGTATATTGAAAATTAAAATAAATATGCCAATAATCCAGCATGCACTAAACTGTTTTACTACGAACAGAGAAAATAATAAATTATA